GGGATACGCGGCCTTCCTCCACGCGGCAGTGTTGACGGAGAAGCAGGGGCCCCTGGCGACCTCAGGCGGCGTGGCGATCCTGGTGCGGGACGGCTTGCAGGCCGACGAGTCTGCGGCCCCGCTGCCCGCGGCATTGCGGCACCGCCTCATCGGAGTGGAGATTGCCGCAGCTTCGGGCCTTCGGCTTCTGGTGCTTGCTGGTTATTTTCAGCACTCTCTGGGCCCCCGAGGCATCAACCTCGACTTGTTTTCGGCCGTCTCGGAGGTGACGGGCTTCGATGCAGACATCCCGTGGGTCCTCCAGGCGGACTTCAACATGGAGCCCGAGCCCCTGGAGGAGTTGGGCTGGCCCGCGGCAGTGCGGGGGCACGTCCTGGGGCCCTCGGAGGCGACGTGCCATGCCGAGGGCTGTGACCACCTCTACGATTGGTTCGTGGCTTCTGCGGCGTTGGCTGCATGCACGGCCTCCTGTGCCACCACGCTCGAGGGCTTTGGTCTGCACCCGCATCGCCCTGTCCTACTTCGCCTACAGGATGCGCGGGCTGATGCGCTGGTCGAGGTTCCGTCCAGGCCCGCCCGCTTCCCCGAGGTAGCCCCTGAGCTCCTTCGAGCACACGAGGACGCGGAGATTGTGCGCTACTCGGTTGGCAAGAAGGGGCAGGTCACGACCAGGGAGGTCTCGTGGTCCTGGGACGTGGGCTCTGCTCCGACCAACCTCTCCGTCGCCTTCGGCGAGTGGGCGGCAGCTGCAGAAGGCACCCTGGTCGGCATTCACGGCATCGGCCAAGCTGACATGGCCCGCCATCTCGGCAGAGGAGAGGGGCCGAGGCTGACCCTCAAGCCGCTCAGCGCCCTGGTCAGGCGGGAAGCCAGGTTCAGGTTCAGCCTCCTCACGCACCGCCTAAGGAGCTGTCTCGACGTGGCCCTCCAGCGGGTGCGCGCGGAGAGCACTGGCCGTTGGCACCCTCGGCATGCGGACTGGTACGAGCACCAGGCCGAGCTCAGGGCGCAGCTCTTGCTGGAGGCGATGCAGGAGGCGGACGACTCGGTCGGTCAGGGTCTTCCTGGCGCTGCTCCTGAGCGGTTGAGCGACCTGGTGTACCAGGCGGGCGTCCGCGGCAGCCCTGAGGCAGTTCGGGACCTCCAAGGGCTGCTCTGTGCTTCGCAGCGCCGCGATGCGGCTCAGAGCGCCCAGGCCTGGCGCAGCTGGGCCCAGACAGCGGTCGAGAAGGGCGGTCGCCTGGCCCACCGCTTCTCGAAGGCGACGCCCCCGCCGACGGTCAGGGACGCCGACTCGGGCAGGAGGCTGGTGGGTATGGCAGCGATTGGCGAACTCACGAAGGTCTGGCAGAAGCTGTGGCTCCAGGACGGGTTTGCCTCGGGCGCAGGGGCCAGCAGCTGGGACGTGGGCGAGTGGCAGCTGCCCCCCATCTCGCTGGAGCAGCTCCAGGCAGCCTGCAAGCGCTACAGCCCCTCGGTGGGCCTCGGGTGCGACTCCCTGCACCCTCGGCAGATCCTCCTTCTGCCAGTGGCGCTGCAGCTGCGCATCCTGGACATCCTGGCGGCCTACGACGAGGCCCCTGCATCGATCCACGGGCAGGTCTCCCTTATGGTTTTCATTCCGAAGGCAGACGGTGGGGTAAGGCCCATAGCGCTGCTGCCGTTGGTCCTGCGGCTCTGGTCGCGCCTCCGCCAACCGTGCTGTGCACGCTGGGAGGCTGACCACAACTTCCCCTTCTTCTGGGGACGTGATGGGCGGGACTGTGAGAGGGCTGGTTGGCTGCACAACTGTTTCGCGGGGTTCGCGAAGTCGAACCTGCAGTTCGAGGCCGCGAGCCTCTTCCTGGACATCAGCAAGTTCTACGAGCACGTGCGGCACGACGTTCTCTGGGCGAATGCGGTACGGTTCGGGTTCAACCTCAGGTTGCTGCGCGGCCTCCTCACGTCCTACCAGGCCCCTAGGATGATCCTCGCGGCGGGCATGGCCTCCCCCGCCTTCGGCACTACGGGAACGGTGCTGGCTGGGTGTGCCTGTGCGACAGCAGTTGCGAAGCTCCCAGTTCTGGGAGCCCTCCTGGCAGCGGGGGCGACGAGCCCGTTGGTCACGCCGAGGAATGTTGTCGACGACATTTCGCTCCAGGCGGTCGGCACGGCTCGGCTTGTGAAGCTGCAGATGGTGGCCGCCAGCTGTGAAGTGGTCCGACAGCTGCGTGAGCAGCACCTCCCACTCAACGAGAGTAAGTCGGTCTTCCTGGCCTCGTCGCCGCAGCTCGCCAAGGAGCTCTCCGAGGCTTGGGCGGAGCATGGCTTTACCTTCAAGAGGGGACTTCAGGCGAGGAACCTCGGCACCGACGCCAACATCACTCGTCGTGGAGTTCATGAAGGAGCTGTGCGTGCGGTCAGCGGCCTTCGCCGAGGACGCAGGCTAGGGGTGCTTCGCTCAGCTGGCGCGGCTACCGAGATGGTCCATCGTGCTGGGCCCACCGCGGCGATGCTGTGGGGGCGCACTGTGACTGGTGTACATGATAAGGAGCTGCATTCGTGGCGCTTGGCGGCGGTACGCTCAGCTGGGAAGTTCCCCAAGGGCGCCTCGCTCGGGTTGAGGCTCAGAGTGGTGGAGGTCATGAGGTCCACTGATCTCGACCCGAGCCCCGCGCTGCTTCGTGCCGCGGTGCAGATGGCGGCCAGTCTCCTCCAGTCGGGGGAGGTCCCGCTGCGCATGTTCGAGTCGGCCGTGCAGGAGGCAGTGCAGAGGCACGCGGGAGCAGCAGCCCCTTGGGTGCACTGCCGCACGCCGGTGGATGCCCTGGCCCTCTCGCTCTCCAGGGTGGGCTGGAGGCTTGTTCCAGGGGCCCGCCTCGCGACCGACGACGGCCATCTCCTGGACCTGCGCATGTTGGGGCCGCGCGAGCTGGGCCTGCTGGCTGCGGCAGGGGCACGGCGCGCGTCGGACAAGTCGGAGCTGGCCCGCCTCAGCCATGGGGCGCTCCCCCAGTCGCCCCTGTTCTGGGAGGCCTTCGCGGAGGTCCTCGGGCCTGGCAGCAAGCTCAGCCACAGGGAGAAAGCGGCGGTGGTGAGCTTCCTTTCCAACGCCCACTGGCCCCAGACCCGTCTGCACTCGGCGGGAGAGAGGGAGCACGCTCGCTGCTGTGCCTGTCAGGCCCCCCGCGGCAGCCTCTGGCACAGGCTATTCGAGTGTCCTGTCCTTGCGGGGGCCAGGCGTGACTCTACCTCTGACCGCCTTCGGCGCTGTGCGCATCGTGCACGCGGTCGTGGCGAGGAGGCGGGTGAATGTTTCGCGCGCTGCTGGCTCCCTCAGCCACCGAGGGCCGCCCCGAGGTCAGACGCCATGTCAGTCATGTGGTGCAATCGCCCCGCCGACGGTCTTCTCGGGGGGCGGCTCTACCTGGATGGGTCGGCGCTCGACCCTGAGCACGAGAGCCTGCGGCGTGCGGGATGGAGCATCGTGCAGTGCGACTCAGACGGCAACTTGGAGTGCGCGGTGTACGGCAGCGTGCGCCAGGACCTCTGCCCGTTCCAGACGGCGAAGGACGGCGAGGATTTCGCGGTCTGGATGCTGTCTCGCTTTCTGGGCCCGAGCGTTGACGAGATCCTCATCGATTGTGCGTCCACGGTCAGCTGCCTCACGTTGGGTAAGAAGTACGCGACGGCAGCCAGCAAGCCCAACGCCCACCTCTGGGAGGGGATCTACGCGTCGCTAGACGTGGACACGCTCAAGGTGACCAAGGTCGCAGCCCACTGCACCGCCAGAGACGTGATGGATGGCAAGATCACGGAGGCGGACCTCCGTGGCAACGGGCATGCAGACCGCTGGGCCAAGGCGGGGGCGGAGCTCCACCGTACCAGCCCAGTGGCCAGGCGCGAGTTCTTTGGCACGATGGAGGTGGTGAGGGAGCTCTCTTGCTGGGTGGCGCAGGCCTCCCTCATCTGGCAGGGGATCGAGGTCAAGGACTGCGAGGGCCTCCCTGAGGGCAGCGAGCGGACGGCCGTATCCTTCGCAGTGCCAGTGGTGGAGCCCACCAGCAGCCGCCCGCCCGACTCGGGCTCGGGCGACGGGTGGGCATCGGCGGCGCGCGCTGGTGGCGTCTCCCTCGGGGCGGCGGCCTTCGTCGTCGTCGGCCACGTCCTGGCCTACGCCAAGTGCGGGGAGGGAGCCGCCGAGCAGGAGCTGATGGCGTGCACCCACTGCGGGGCGTACGCGCGGCTGGGCGGGCGCTCAGGTGCGGCGCCCAAGCTCAAGGAGCAGTGCCCAGGTTCGGCTGGGCTTCCCAAGGGCAGGAGAGACCAGAGGGCGCGCTGGCTGCAGGGGCGGCACCCTGCTGGCACGCCCCACAGCGGCAGCAAGAGGGTCGGAGCGTCCGCGCCCAGCTTGCGCAAGGAGGACGTGGTGCCGATGGCCGCCAGAGTGCGCTTCCTGGAGTGGCTGGGCGTCCGCCCCGATGATGCACCTGGCGGCGTGGCCGCCGACGCTGGCCGAGGGCCCCCCAGCGGCGCGGCGGCAGCAGGTGAGGCGGAGGCTGAGCCTTTGGCGCCTGACTCCTCGGGGGCCTCGAGGGAGGCTTGGCTGAGCGCCTACGGGCTCGACGAAGCGAGCCTCCTCGAGTGGTCAGCCGCAGCAGAGACGGCGCGCGAAGACAGGCGCAAGAGACGCCGTCGCGCTGTAGTTGACGAAGGGGAGTGATGCAGCATCACTTTCCTCTTTCTGTTGTATCTGCCCCTCGTCACCTCTTTTGGCGTGTGCGTGGGCAGCGTCTTCTGCCCCGCATTCTTGATGCAGCGAGGCGGCTCTGTCAGGCGTGATGTGCGCCTCCGCCCCGCTGCCTTCTGATTTCTTTGAAATCGTGCGCTTCGCGCTTTTGGCGCTTCGCGCCCTCTCCCCTGGCGGCTCCCTTGGGGCCCCTTGGGTTGGCCCTTGAGGCCCTGGGGCCAACGGGCTCCGTGGGCCTCGGGCTTCTGTCTGCCTTCACAGGCCCCGCAGCTCACAGCTCACGGCGACTCCACTGCGCGCGCGCTCTTCGAGGTCCGTCAGGCCACCCGTCTCCGGCCTGCAGCAGCGGCAGCGGAGCATCGGGCACCGAGTCTGGCCCCGCCCGGGGACCGGCCAGGCGCATCACGTAGCTGACGGAGAGCACGCCACCTGTGGGCAGCGCACCGCGGAAGAGATGGCACATGGGCACGATGGCCAGGACGTCGCGGGGGACGAACAGGAGGAGGGAGGAATAGAGAAAGACATAACTAAATCAACACGAACTCGGAGGTCCGCGCGAAGCTCCGAACCGAACGTTTACATGAATCCCGTTGCCTCTTCTTCGAGAGCGACGACGACCTCGGCAGCGGCGACCGACCACGAGGACCACGGTCAGGACCAGGCCACGACCAGGCAAGAGCGAGCACGGAAGAAAAACAAACACGAGGGCCGGCGACAGGGACGGAGGCCCTCCACGTCCAGAGGCAGCCCCAACGGGTGACTCGAGCAAGGCTGGCCCCTGCCGAAAGGTCCCTCCTCCTCGCGTTCATAGCGCCGCGTGCCGATGTGAGGCGAAGCCTGCTGCCTGCGTCTGGGCAAGCATCGCTACAGAGATGCTCGGGGACGCAGGCTCTCGAAGAATGATCCTGGCCAACACCCGGCCTCCAGGCAAACCTTGGCCAGGGCAGCTCTTCCCACTAGATACAAACCACACCACAGTTGTGGCGGCATTGTCCTCAAGACGCCTCAGCCTCCTCTTCCCTCCTCCGCCCGAGGGGGGGGGAGGCAGGAGGGGGGAGAGTTGGCGGGGAGGGGGCCGGGAAGGCGGGGCGGGGCGTGAGGCGGAGTAGAAACCCTTCGCCTCCTCCTCCTCCTCCTCCTCCTCCTCCTCCTCCTCCTCCTCCTCCTCCTGAACCTCCACCTCCTGATCGACAACCTCCTCCTCCTCCTCGTCCTCCTCCTCCTCCCCCTCCTCCTCCTCCTCTCCTCTCCTTCTCCTCCTCCTTCTCCTCCTCCTCCTCCTCCTCCTCCTCCTCCTCCTCCTCCTGAACCTCCACCTCCTGATCGACAACCTCCTCCTCCTCCTCGTCCTCCTCCTCCTCCCCCTCCTCGAAGCCCGGAGCTGGAGGCGGAAGGGGAGGCGAAGGGAGGGACGCCCGCACAACCCACCTCCGCACCAAAGGGGGGGGGGTACGAAGTCCCTGTCAGGTGACGGGGTGGATAAGGAAGGGCAGCATACGCCTTTGCACATCTCAAGTGCTCAGGCACCTCAAGCCTGCCCAACACGAAAGGGGCGGCAACATACGTCTGCTCAACCCCAGCGATTTATTGCATCACATGTGTTCACTCAAGTACGTCTTCAAAGAGGCTGTGTACTCACTGGTCTCCTCCTCCTCCTCCTCCTCCTCCGCCTCCTCCTCCTCCGCCTGCTGTGCTGACGTTTGAGGGGTCGGTCAGGACTGCCGCCCGCACGTGCGGAGTGCAGTGTCGTACCCGAGACAGTCGCACACATGCCCTCACCAAATCGCTCCTGGAAACAAAAGGGAATCGGGATGGCCTCAACGCCTAGAACTGATTCCGCGTACCGTACACTTGTTGTCGATATAACCGTCATTGGTTACCGCCGTGCTTTCTTGTACCACAGTTCGAGTCAACAGTGTGACCTTGAAAAGCACGAGTGCGCGACGAAGGGACAGGATACGTCGCACGCACTCGCGAGAAACTCAGGAAGCCAAGCTAGAATTTGTTGAAGGTCCTGAAATCAGCATCCGCCGCCATGGAGCAGGGCACGCTGGACGAGACAGATGAGGGTAACATGAGGCCAAAGCATTGTACAGTCCAACATATCCCAGGGTTCACACATTTGCCATCAGTAGGCACATGGATTCACCACGCTTCTTTTGCTTCCCACAAACATGCAACACGAATTGCATAGATTGAGAAAGCGAAAGAGTTGTTGAAAACGGCCAATCAAACGCATCCAGAAGTTCTGCATGAGTGGGCTTCTATGCGTAAAGAAAATAACACTGGCCGCATTTCCAACCGTCAGCAGCGTGGCGCATATATGCATTTGCCATCCTCAGAAACGTGGACTCACATGCATTGGATATCTCGAAGACAACATTCGCAGCATGTTTGAATTACTCGCGATAACTGTCATCATGGTCAAAACGAATGGTCTGGAGCGTTCAAGAAACGGGGCACCCCAGGAATGCCCCCAGCATTACCAACGGTCCAGGAGGTCAGCATCCATGCAAACACCGACTGGTCAGTGAAGGGTTTTAAACTAAGCTTCACACAAACAGACCCCCGACGGCATGGTTTCCTGATCCTCATCCTCATCAGCATCATCATCATCATCATCAGCATCATTATCCTCAGCATCATCATCATCATCATCATCAGCAGCATCAGCATCATCATCATCATCATCATCAGCAGCAGCAGCATCATCATCATCATCATCATCATCATCATCACCATCATCATCATCATCATCATCATCATCAACAACAACAACAACATCATCGTCATCAGCATCATCATGATCATGATCATGATCATGATCATCAACATCATCATCATCATCAGCATCATCATCAGCATCATCAGCATCAGCATCAGCATCAGCATCAGCATCAGCATCAGCATCAGCATCAGCATCAGCATCATCATCATCATCATCATCATCATCATCAGAATCCTCCTCCTCCTCCTCCTCCTCCTCCTCCTCCTCCTCCTCCTCCGGGAGCCCCCAGCGCCAGAGAAGGCGCGTGCGCGCGGTCAGGATGCTGCATGCTGCGACGTGGTGTGGGCCCATCGACGGAGGGAGGCCCCTCATGGCCGTGAGCAGCAGCCGCCGCCGCGCAGATCGACGGCTCCGCCTGGCCACCTGCCGCCAGGCCGAGGTAGACGGCTGGGCGGTCCAGTTCCAGCAGCCTTGGCCCTGGTGGGGCCTCCCGTGGGCGGGGGCCTACGAGCAGCGGCAGTGGCAGCCCAGCACAGGCGGGCAGTGGCAGGAGTGCGAGAAGCGGGAGGCGGAGATCGAACCCGCCACCTTCGGCTACAGCGCTGGGGACAGGACGTGCGAGAATGGGAAGGCGAAGCTAGAGCCCGACATCGCTAGTCACAGCACTGGGGACAGCGCGTGCGAGGAATGGAAGGTGAAGATTGTGCCCGACACCATCAGCTACAACGCTGGAACCAAAGCGTGCGAGAAGGGACAGGCGAAGGTACAGCCCTGCCTCGCTAGCCGCAGCAAAGGGGTCAGCGCGTGCGAGAAGTGGAAGGCGAAGATAGAGCCCGACACCATCTGCTACAGCTCTGCTGTCTGGGCATGCGAGAAGGGGAAGCCAGAGCCAAGCGGAACGTGCGAGGAGTGGAAGGCGTATGTGAGGGGAGAAGCGAAGCTGGAGCCCGACAGCGCGAGCCCCAGCAACGGGGACAGCGCGTGCGAGAAGTGGAAGGCGAAGATAAAGCCCGACACCATCGGCCACAGCGCTGTTATCAGGGCATGCGAGAAAGGGAAGCCGGAGCCAAGCGAAACCTGCGAGAAGTGGACGGCGTACGAGAGGGGAGAGGCGAAGCTGGAGCCCGACATCGCTAGCCCCTACACTAGGATCAGTGCGTGCGAGAAGTGGAAGGCGACGCACGAGCCCGACACCAGAAGCTACAGCGCTGAGATCAGGGCAAGTGAGAAGGGAAAGGCGAAGCTGGAGCCCGACGGCGCGTGCGAGAAGTGGAAGGCGAGGGTAGAGCCCGACACCATCTGCTACAGCGCTGTTATCAGGGCATGCGAGAAAGGGAAGCCAGAGCCAAGTGGAAAGTGCGATAAGTGGAAGGCGGAGATAGAGCCAGATATTAGTAGCCACGGCACTGGGAACAGCGCGCGCGAGGAGTGGAAGGCGAAGATAGAGCCCGACACCGTCAGCTACAGCGCTGGGATCAGGGCGTGCGAGAATGGGAAGGCGAAGATAGAGCCCAGCGAGAAGTGCGAGAAGTGGAAGGAGACGGCGGGGGCGAAGCTAGAGCCCTATATCCCTAGCTCCTCCTTGTCCAACCTTGTCGCCACGGCTGGATCCGAGAAAACGGAGTGTGTGAGCAGCTACAGCGTCAGCAGGGCCATGTGGAGAGCACGCACCCAAATGGCCAGGACGTGGCTAGAAGGCGGCGAAGCAGTAGAGCCCGATGCCATTAGCCACAGTGCTGGAATCCAATGGGAAGCGGAGGACGTACATGGAAAGCGGGGGCCATTCCCGAAGGTTGATCAGAAGAAGGTGGAGAGGCGATATCAAAGATATCTCCACCCAGATGGTAAGAAAAGCGGCACGTTCACCATCACAGGGTCGAACGGGAGGCCCACGTGGCCCCTCAGAGCAGATTTCGACAACATGCTGCTCCTGAGGGCCACGAGGGCGAAGGCTTCGAGCAAAAGCGTCAGGATACGCCGCGCTTGCAAAGCTGGAAAAGAGGAGCGCAGATTGTGAGAAGTGTGAGAAGCAGAGGTGCCTTCGCGCGGACAGGTCACTGGAGTGTGGACGTCCGCCCGAGGTGCTGCAGTGGGGAAGCTTGGGCGACGAGGCGCGGCGGAAACTCACCATGTGAGAAATGAAACTGCTTGAAAACTATCCTCCTCCTCCTCCTCCTCCTCCTCCTCCTCCTCCTCCTCCTCCTCCTCTCCTCCTCCTCCTCCTCCTCCTCCTCCTCCTCCCTCCTCCTCCTCCTCCTCCTCCTCCTCCTCCCTCCTCCTCCTCCTCCTCCTCCTCCTCCTCCTCCTCCTCCTCCTCCTCCTCCTCCTCCTCCCTCCTCCTCCTCCTCCCTCCTCCTCCTCCTCCTCCTCCTCCCTCCTCCTCCTCCTCCTCCTCCTCCCTCCTCCTCTCCTCCTCCTCCTCCTCCGCCTCCTCCTCCCTCCTCCTCCTCCTCCTCCTCCTCCCTCCTCCCTCCTCCTCCTCCTCCTCCTCCTCCTCCTCCTCCTCCTCCTCCTCCTCTTTCCACCACCCGATGCAGCGGCACAGGCAGCAACAGCGGGAGCATGGGGACGGGCGTGGGACGCGGGGGGGGGGGGGGGGGCAAAATGTGGGCAGGCAACGAAGAGCTGCCGAGGGACCGTGGCGCCCCCGAGGGAGGCAGAGGCAAGCAGGGCCAACCTGCAACCGCCGCCGAGCCCTGCC